TGCACTCGAGCCACAAAATGTCGGCTAGCCTGCTGTTTTCACATTGTTCTATGAAATTATTATTACAGCAAAACTTTGAGCATAGAAGCAATCAAATTATGTTTGTTAGATAAAGCATTTTATTGATTATTGAATGCAATTAAAATTTAAATTAATTTAGAATGTTCTTGTTTTATTATGTATTTAGAAAATGGTGGATTATGTCCTGGAATTGATTGTAAAATGTTAATTGGCTTTGAATAACTCTGTAAAGTGTGTTTGAGAAATGTTGCTCATTGATGCAGAAAAGAAACCCTATTAATGTTTAAGTGTCATAAAATATGCTGTTTAATACACTTTCACGCAATTCCAAGCCTTAATTCAAGGCAATTTCTAAATAAATCTAAGAGCGTGTGCTATAGAGAAACCCTTCTAGCTTGCCTAAGTTAAGTTTTTGCTCGTAAAAATGCCATTCATGTGTTTGTTCGTTGCCATTAACACAAATGTCGCCAGATTTTCATAATTAAATCAAATTCGTATCCTTTTCGGCGCAGCCCTTTCAAATAATAAAACACTTTAACCAAACTTAGCTGGAAAGGTATGAACAGCTGTGTGCCAGGGCATTAAAAATAACCAATGCAATAAAAAAGTTAAATCGAAAAGTAAACTGACCGACCGACTGACTGACTGAATGACTGAGCGAATGAATGACTAACTGACACCCACTCAATGGCAATGGCAAAAGCATTTGGCCATTGTTTAGTTGGAAAATTTTGCGCTCATCAACTTAAATTGTGAAAATTAATCAAGTTGAAAAGCTTGCTGGGCCAGGCCTGGCGAGGCTTTTGTTTTGTTTTGCTTGACCGCTCGGTTGGTCGCTCGGTCGCTGAGGTCAAGCAGTCAGCATGCAAGTGAAGGAAACCTTTTTCATGCGGCTTTCCAAAAAAAAAAAAAAGAAAAGGGAAACCTTTTGCTTTGCATTCAAGCGGAAATTAAAGCGCCGCACGGAAAGAGGCAGAGAATATAGAAGGCGAACGAAAGTGCGCTGAACTCACACGCGCTCAAATTGAAATTGTGTGTCCTTAGGCCTGAGATTGACAAGAAAAACAATAAAAAAAAGGCACCCAGGCACCCAACACGTGCGCTGCGTTACCTTAAAGCAGTTTTTAAAGCAAGTTCAACCTTTTCCATCCACAAGTTTTGTTTTTGGTCTTGGGTCAACGGTTGGGCGACAATATTTGGCTGCTGCTTGAAATGAAAAACCTTTTTAATTAATGCACTGCCAGCCGCCAAACACCTCATTAAAATGCCACAAAATGTGTGTGTGTGTGTGGGCTCTTTTAAATGAAAATATAAAACGAGTTTATGATTTTTATGGTTTATTTAGCCAGCGTCTCGACAGGTTTCTAATTAATTTAATTAGCACGCACTTGCGACTCCTCGCACAGCCTGCTAATAAAATACAGCCCAATAAAACTAATTAGTCAGTACATAAAGCGTACTCAAGTAGCCAGGATTTCTCAAGTAGCTATATTTCTTTTATGCTCTTGAATCAAGTGGCCTTTCAATAAAAATCTATATAAAAGCAATAATTTGAATAAGTCCCATTCTAGGAATTCATAAGCTTTCTGTTTACATTATTGCAAGAGAAGTTTATGTTGTTAATACAACCAGTTGAGAAACTGTGAAAAGTCAACAAGCTGCTTGGCATGGAATACAAAAATACTGCTCTTTAAAAAAATTGAAAATAATTGGATTAGTTAATGTATGCTAATTCAAATTTAATAAGCAATTTTTTAACTATTGTGTGAGCTTTTTACTAAGTTTCTGCTATTCATTGATAGAAATGGAAGCAAGTGAAATTAATGTATTCTGTGCTCTATGTATACTTCTGTATTCTGTCTTTATTCCTTATAAACTTTAAGCTAAATATTATCAAATGTTTTGAAATCCTAGCTTTTTGTCTGATTAGTAAACGTTATCATTGTTGTATAATGCAACAATTTATTGCTGCCTTTTACCAATTGCATTTAGTTTTATTTTCATATATATTTTTCCACAAACAATAATTTAGTTAATTTCCATTCTTCTTAGATTTCGGCAGGCATTTAAATTGCATATTTCAAATGAATAGTATTATTTTTACATTTTAATTAGTTTCAATTTTGATAAGTAAATAATGTTGCATTTGCGCTTATTTCAGACCACATAAAATAACATTTTATGCCATGCGCATTGTTAATTAAATAAAACAATTAGATATTTTGCTTGCTTTATAATTTGGTCGGTGATTATGTGATGCATTAAAGCTGACGCTCTCAACTCCACAGCATAAATATACTCTTTTGTATAAACTGTCGAAATGCTATAAACAAGCCTGTTTGTCTATTTCTATGCGCACGAGTCTCTCAGCTTTAAGGATATTCTTGTTAAAGTTGGCATAGATCTGACGCTTAGCAACAGAAAGTTCATATAAAGCTGGACTACTTATTGTTCGACGTTTCTGTTTTCGTGTAGAATTTTTTTTAATAAACTTTTTAAACTTTTTTAAAAGTAGTCAGGAATAGTTCGGATTCACTTTCATATCAAAAAGATAGCATAGATAATCATCTAATAATTGTTTGGACAAGTGTAGAGTGCTTTGTATATCTGCTTTATGTCCATAAGTTTATTAATTTTTGGACATCCTTAAGTGTAAATTTTATTGACATGTCACTTTTGTCGGTATATTTCAAACTCATCCCAGAACAATTGTGAGACTTAATGTGGACAGAATTTTCAATCTAGTTTCACATAAATTGCGAATTAAAATAAGGCAAAGACAAACGCATTTATTTTTTCTTGTAAATAATAATAAATAATAATAAGAATAGAAATAAATGCAGGTAAATTCAGAGAAGAACAAATGTCAATTTTGTTATTTTTTTGTAACTGATATGTGAACACGTAAGAGAATTTGGTTTTAAATATAATTTAATTATTTTTATTATTTGGGTGACTATTACAATAATGAAAAGCAATTTTATTTGAATATGTTTGCAGCCGTCTTCAGGGCAGAGACAAAGAAAAATTAACATTGCAAATAAATCAAGTTAAACAATTAATTCAATATTAAACGTAAAATATTCTGGACGTGCAAATTATTTAGCTATTCAATAAGTGTCTAAACAAGTTTGAAGTGTTTATTATTATTTGTTTTATTTATTATTATAATTATTTCCAATGTATATTGCAGTCTTGTTCTAGCCTTAGCATTGTTGTTGCATCAAAGTTTGTTAAGTAGTTTCCGTTTATAGAATGGTTCATGAGTGTTGTTTCTTTTGTATATTATATTGATGTCTTTATTTGAAGTTCGATTTGTTTTTAGTTTCGATTTATTTGTGCCGTCGTACACGCTATTGCAATTATTGCAATATTGTATATACAAAATTTATTCTAAAAAATGTTATATTTAATGTCTCGACTAATCACAATTTAGCCCAGTCGTGCGTCTTTTTTTGTGGCAACAAATTAAACACTATTTGCAAATTTGAGTAAATATAATAATTTGTGTAAGGACCCACAATCAAAAACATTAAACAAGCAGCGACAAGACGAACATGTCTGACAGAAAGAAAACCATCAAAAGTAAATGAAGCATAAATGCCAGAAACATGCCAAAAACTGGTGGCGGGGCACAAATCGTGTGAAAGAAAAAGTGATTTAATTTATTTTTCTTGCTCATTTTTTCGAATTGCCAGAGAGTAAAAAAAAAAAATGAAGAATTTGTTAAATTTGAGGCTGGGTGGAAATTGATGGAACAATTTTGTAGCTTTAGCTGCGGCCATGCGGATGGATGTTTGTGTCTAAATAGCTTTTGCGGGAATTAGAAACACTCTGCGAATGAAATAACCGGAAGGAATTATATCAACCTCAGATGCGTGGAGGAAATTAAATATTTAATAGTCTGCGGCAGCGAGGCGCATACAAATATAAAAATAAATTATTATTTCGAGCGGGCAAAATGAAATCAAAAAAATAAAATTTAAGGAAAAAAGTGTATTTTCAACCTGTAAATGTTGATGGGAGTGTGCGCGAGTGTGTCTGTGTGTGCGTCTGTGTGTGTCTGTGTTTGTGTGTTAATTCCGCGGTGTTGCATTTTGGGGTATTATAAGCACACGCACACGCACAGGCACTGGCACAAAACGGCCACGTTAAGAGGATCTGACAGTTGGCTTGGAAAAACGAAATTATTTTTAAAAACAGAAACAGAAGCAAAGAAAAAAATTAAGTAAGCGCAAACCCAAAAAAACGCAACGAATTAAATTAAAAAAGAAAAAACATAAAAATAAAAACAGGAAATGAAATTGGCATAATCTCATACCCTGTTGCCAGAGAAGCGTCTTAGTGGTTGTCGGCCATAGCCGCAGCTCCGAGCGCTTCTCGCACGAGATTGACAAAAGCTGCAAATGAATTAAGTATGCGATGATTGTCGCGAATGCAAAGTGAGAGGAGCATTCGGCTGTTAAGCCGCTGACTTAACAATTTGTGTAATTTTTGGGCGAATTGCAGTGAAACTCGATAAGTTTTAATTCGTTATTAACAAGAATTTCCCATGACATTGCGATGGACAAATACTGATACGAATTTGTTAATATATGAGAGTTGCGTTAATATTATTGCAATTAACAATGCGAATTGGGAATTTAATCTGAGTGTTAACAGAGACAGTAAAAACTGTAAGCACTTTCATTTTGTGTTAACAGAAAACTGTAAACTCTTTCAGAGTTCATTGTGTGTTAACAGAAAACTGTAAAGACTCAGATGTCATTGTCTACTGCATATTTCTTGAGGGCTTGCAAACTAAAACAGTAAAATATGATATAAATTATATTTTTATAAATAATATATATTAATACTATTTGTAAAATAATATATCTGTATTGTAAATACAATGCACATTGTCAACATTCGAACTAATAAAAACATTTTCTTCTCTTTTCTCATTTATTCCAAACACGCACACACACACACACACACAGCAACAGGAAATCAACGAAATTGTCGTCACTCCAATCAAGTGGAAATTTGATTAAAGCAGTGGAAAGAAAAATTTAATAAATTTTCAAAACTCAATAGCCGAACAACAAAAAAAAAAAAAAGAAAAGAAAGAAAAGTGTGCGAGTATATCAAAAAGGTAACAGCAAAGGAAATCAACACGCACGCACATGAGCGAATTTGTAGTTGTGCAAGGACAACAGAACACAAACAAAAAAAAAAAAAACAGAAACAAAATTAAGGAAAATAACAACAAGCCGTAGCAAACATTAAAAGTCAGCGAAGTGTAAAAAAAAAGGTGAATACAGACAGCAAGGCTGAGGCAATAAACTCAATGAAAGAGTAACCAAGTGAACGAGTATTAAAATAGGCACCAAATAAAAGAAGGAGAGGAAAAAAGCGTAACAAAAATTAAAAGGTACGACTATTATTTAGTATTCGCCGCACTCATACAAAAACCTGGGGCAGGAGCTAACCAAGGCTTAGGACAACTAACGACGCGCAGCTGACGACGACGACTGCCTTGTGGCAAGGACATTACACACACTTTACTTTTTTCTATTTGCTGCGTGTGTGTGTGTTGTCCTGCATCGAGCAAAGCACAAAATTAAGTGCAGATTATCAGCAGATTATATTTTAATAGCATTTCAAGCTGTTGCCTTTCACGACAAGCCCAAAAGGACGACGCCGTCGACGACAAGCGCCACCAAAAAAAAAAAGGGACACGGCCAACAACAAATACATTAGAAACCATGTGCTAGTGCCCGTTTGTGTCTGTGTGTGCGTGTTTGTGCAAGTGCGGCTTATTACACGATGTCCTCTCAAAATATCCTTTTGAAGGAGCCTCAACTAAAGCAAACATAAGAAATTGAAATAAAGTAACAAGAGCAATTTTTATTGCCCTGTTTTTCGTGTGTCCTTCGTAAGTGTCGCGTGTGCAACCCAAAAAAAAAAAAAAAAATAAATAAAAAAAGACAGGCAAGAAATATATTTAATTAGAACATTAAGCATACGCCCCGTGGCAGCTGAGAGAAAAGCAACGCAAGTGAGAAAGCAACAGGTGAGTAATACATTTGTTGTAAGATATACCTATTGTCATGGGCCTAATTTAGTATATGAAAGCTTCTTCAAAGTGGGACGACTTCTAATTATGAAAACAATACTTGTGTTTTACTTCTTCAAAAAGCTTGTCTTTATCTTTTAACTTGCCGCCAAACTATTAGAATAGAATACTATTAGACAGCTATAAGCATTGTTAATAAAAACTGACAGGTCCCCAATACTATCTTTTTCACAATTTCTTCAAATGATTTTGCAAAATATAAACGCAAAAATAAATAAAAATATAAAAGTCCTAAATGCAAAAATTCAACTGGCATACTGCAGAAATATCTGTATGTTGTATGTAAACGTCATGTAAGAATTTTTAAAATCTTCTAATCAAATGTTTAGTCTATGAAAAGAGACAACTCCGACCATGAATTATATATAGTTTATTGATGTTTTTAATATATTTGTTTAATAAATCCCTATTCATTCATTCTGGGCAGTGGCTCAGTTTTATAGCTCGTCATTTTATGTATCGCTCTCGTTTTATATAAAAAATGACAAACTACTTATAATTTGTATAGCATACTTTTAAGCGCATCTAAAGCTTGTAAAAGTTCATGAAATGAACGCAAAAACTTTAATTTTTGATACCGAACTCGTGACTTTAACAACTCGCATTCAGCAATGCGCATTTAGTTAACATCTAACCTCTAACCCTGCTCCTCCCCCTGCCCCCGTATCCCTCTATATCGCCATAATAAGCACTGCTGCGGCTGGTTGTGCGTCTGTTAATTAATGCTAACCGAGCATCCGCTGCAGCATATTTAAAAACGCATTAGCTTTCGGGCTTTAGAGCCGCAATGCAAACTGAGAGCCCGGATTTTGAGTCAGAGTGTCATAATTTTTTGGCCAACAACAAAAAGAAAAAAACTAAAAACAAAAAACATTTGGCCAAGGGCTTAAAAAAAACATTAGCGTAATGCCCATATAAAGCAAACGAATTATTTCCATATACGAGTGCGCAAAAGAAATGTTGTAATTACTTCAAATGCTGCAACAGGACGGCAAAAAAGCTGTTTGTGATGCCTTTTTATATCCTGTACTCAAGGCGTAAATTGAAAATGTATGTTGCAGGCAGATAACGGCATTACCGCAACCATAAAGCTTATATATTCTCGATCGGAATGATGTTGTGAGCCGGGTCCTAATGTCCTTGTGTCTGTTCAACTTGTCCTTCTCAGAGACTCGAACATAATGGAATCTTAAAATCTTATCTTATAAAGAAATAAAATAATTAAATTTGGTATATATGTTCCTCATATATGTTTTAAAATACATAATAGCAAAAATGTTTCATCATTTACTCTCGCTTCAAATCGAAGATTTTTTAGAGTTTTTTCTTCTTATCATCAGACACATACCTTAATCAAATCGTGAAACTTTACAATTAGCAGGCAATAAACACCAAAGTTTTTGAATACTGTTTTCTCTTTAATGTAAAGCAGTAAGAAAAATTCAGTACAGCATCACGGAACTTTGTGTAGGGTATCTGTCAGTCGTACAGTTACACTTACGAATCTTTTGGTAGCTGGGGGTCATGTGTCTGCTAATTTCATATTTTTTGCGGGCAGAATGCTGAAGCAGGCAAACAAAGAGACTACGCAACGGCAACACTTGCTGAGACATTAAAACGAAACTTTTGTTGCATGGCGAGGAGGAGCATGGGGAGGGCTGCGTGTGGGTGGCCCATACCTGGAACATGAGGGGCTGCCATAGCATCTCCAACATTCTGAGCATCCTTAGTGGCCATAATGCGCTGCTGCTTAGCTGCCGTTATTTGTTATTTGCCCGCCTGTTGGAATCTGTCACCAAGCTACGTGACAATACAGCGGCGCGTGTGTGTGTGTGTGTGTGTGGCTACTGGTGTGTGTGTGTGTGTGTGTGTGTGTGTGTGTAGCTGTGTGTGTGTATGCGGGTGGGTGTTCTGGTGTGTGACTGCGGTAGACCGCTACTTTGCTGGCTGACCTAAGCCAGCTTGTTCGCATTGGAGCGCAACTTACCTGACAAAACTTTAAGGCAAAAATTTCATTTAAAAGTTTCGCTGTCCCTCCCCCCCTTGCACTACGCCCCTCCCCAGCTATATGCCGCCCAATCCCCTGGGTCACCTTTGGACGCACGCCAGCTGCTTAAAAGTTCGCCTCCCTTCCCCTAGCTCTCACCCAGCCGCCAAATTGCGTTCAGTTTCTTGAGACAACTTTTGCAAATGGACATTGACGTTGCATGGCTTTGGTTTTTCTTTACTTTGCCCATCATAAGCATTCACACAATTTGAACGATCCATACAAATGGGGCCCTGGCCCCGGTCAACTTTGAACTCTGCACAGTGGACACTCCATTAGCATTAGCAAAGTTGTCAACGGACATGAAAATATGCCGGATTTATGCAACAATATAATATTCCCCATAGAAATTTCTGGTCCAAAGTAAATATTCACGCTGATTCTTTACTATTTTGTGCATATGGAGTTTAATGTACTTAATATGAAATATATATATTTTTTGCTAATAATAAAAGAAAAAACTGTTTGATTCTTAACAAATCGAATGTTTAATGTAAGGAATGCAAAAATCTTTCAAAATTTGCATGAATCAGGCGCTTTCGCTTTGCCTTCCGCTCTTCTCAGCAAATTGCATAAAAATATAATAAAATATATAAAGGGTATCATCAGCATAGAAGAAGGATCCTTGAAATCTGATACAGAATTTTTTGTACAAATATAAAAATATTTTTCAATCGATTCTTAATAAATATTTTATGTTTGTAAAATAAATACTTCCTACAAAGTACAAGTTTTTTACACAGTAGAAAATTGAATATCATTTAAGTTTGTGAACGTTGACAATTGTGTGTGTGTGTTTTTTTTTTTTTTTGGCTTTTTCTTTGTCCCAGAATTTAATTTGTACTGTTTGCTGGCATTTTCCTGTTCAAGCATGTCTGAAATGCGCAAATTAAATTGGTTTATGGTTGTTGCCAAATAAACGAATTTCTGTATGCTTTAATTGTATATTTTTATTTTTTAATGCCGCTTCCCTTTTATTTATGTTGCCCAGCCGAACATACTTGTGTATGCAACAGCTGTTGTTTTTCTTCGGGTCTGCTGTTGTTGTTGTTGTTGTTGTTGTATTTGTTGTTGTTATTATTCTTGCAGTCGTTGCTTAACTAATTAAAGCAGTTTAATTGCATAAATTAAAGCCACATATGTGCGCTGTATTTGTTCAACATGAGTGCTGAGTGAATAAACACGTGAAGGCATTTCTCAATTGCCCCTATAATTTACGGCGTCCATTTTGCGTGCACCTAATTAACGTATTATTATTTAAAATTATTTTTTAATGTTTTTTTTTTTTAATATTTTATTTATGTGGCTTATGTGGTAAAAGCTATTTTTATATATGATAAATTCGAACATTAATTTTGTATATGTCATTTTGGACACGAATTTATTAATATTTAAAACATGTTTTCTTTTGTTTGTGGTAATTTATTATAAGTTAATGCATTTGCTAAATTTGCCAAATTTTACAAGCTTTTTTTTGTCTCTCATCAATCAATCAATGAATTTTTGCATGTTCTCAAAAATAACTTTAAGTTAAGGCATTTCTTTCAAACAGAGAGAAATACATTTAAAAGCAAAGTTAGCGTTAACCGTGTTAGAAAAAAAAGCGAATTGCGCACAATTTGTTCATTCTTTATCGACTGGGAATATGTGAGGGACAGAGGCGGGCGGCTAACATCCAGCAGGGCAGCAAATTGTTACAGACACACACACACACACACTCACACGCACTCCCCTGATGTTTTAAAGCACTGGAAAAGCATCCTCGTTGGGTAGTAAACACTTATTAGATGTCACAAGTTCTGGATGGGAGGCGACTGCGACTGAGCTGGCAATCGTAGACGGATACGGGCAATAGCAGGGGCAGGGGCAGCGGCAGCGGCAGCCCCCCAAAGCGATGAAGCAATGGAGCGTGCTGTTAAGGAGTATTCGACTAATAAAAATGTCAAAACGCATGAAGTTGATGACAAGTAAGGCAAAATGACAGCAGATCCTATAAGCAGGACGTCCTAGTATGTACAAGGAAACTTGCCTCCGGCTGTCTGCCTCCTTTTGCCTCTAATGCGAGCAACAATTTGACACACCTGCTGTGCGCAGGGTCCTGGGCGATGGAATGTGCGTGGTTTCGGCTGTAATTTTCTCCTTCGACTGAAACTTTCACAATTAAAAGTTGGGAATTTCGTTTCATCTTCTACGACTTGGCGCTTGCCTTGCACGCATCGTTTCAATTTTATTTGTTGGATTGGCTTAAGTGGATTTATCATATCAGCTGGCCAGAAAGTTGTCCTAAAATAAAATATATTAAACATTATATATATATATATATATATTTTTTTTTTCTATATATGGAGAGATTTGCTCGACTTTTAATTACGCAGCTTTTCAGTGCGCTCACGTACACGGGAATGTCGTGGTAAAAAAGTTTTATTCCTTTTACTTTTGCTACGTGTCCTCGCTGAAAGCATTTTCAATAAGCGCCTTTTTCTCGCTCGCGCATAGCCGCAGGGAATTGATAAACTTTCTTGGCCGCACTTGGCCTTGGCCGGTCAAAGGTCAAACAGCAAACTTCTGCAGCCCCCCACATACACAATTCCTATTTAAAATATCATTCTATTTCAGTTTACAGTTTTATTGCCCAGACACAAGAACAACACTTTCCACTACTCTCAACTGAAAGGCCCTCTACTTCAGTTTCCAATTCAACGCGCTGCGTTAAGACATAAATACACGACATGAGCCGCAGTATTCTGACAGTTGAGTGGCGAGCAACGAATATACGATGCTCTTTATTGTCTAACGCAAACATTTCCCTTTATTAAAGAAATTGAAAATTTCGAAAAATTGTTATATGAATTTTCAATTTGATTAAAATTATTTTAAAAGCTTTTTATAC